AATTCAATCAAGATGATATATACTATCATAGAAAGCAGATTTAACATCAGACAGTGGGAAAATAACACAAACAAGGTCATATAACATAACTGCATGTATTGTTTCATAAATGCCATACACCACATTACAGTTACACATGCTGTACATATACAAATATATATATATATATATATCAATGACAAATTAAATTTACACCTTAAACACAATTTGATCAATAAGTAGGGTCAATAAGTACATCAAAACACATGATAATTCCAAGAAAAGAAGGAACTTTCTAACCATGACAGGGGACCATTATGTGTTTTACCTATTGTTACCTAGACAGGGATATTTACAAGGAGAATAATCAATATCAGACTTAACAACTATTCCAGCAAGAACCATCAGAAGATGACACAATCCACCCGGCCCCCACATATTTGAAAGAACAAATCATCTGGCAGTTACTTAAAGTCCAGCTTTAATTTTTTAGACTACGTCCAAATCGCTTCCTTGGAAATCATGAAAAATATAATTTTCTATAAATATGCTCTGCTGAAGTTCTGTTGAAAGATATTGAAAGGTTTTTGACTTGTGACTCGGACTGAAAATCCACCCCTTCTTTTTGAGACTAAGTCCAAATGGTTTCCATTGAAACCTAGAAAGATTACTAATGACAGAAATCTGTAAATAGCTAAAGGCACCACTTTGGGATCTACTTCAATTTAACTTGTGTAAACTGTGGCAGATTTTTTTTTTAGTTACATGTAGCAGAATTGTGTTAATTCAGCAAACATTATGGATAGTTTAGTATAAATTTCATTACATGACGTTTTCCCATTGAAAACAACTTAAAGTTCCAGTAAAGGGCAGGATGCTGCTCAAGAATTACCTAACATAACATAAATCAAGAAGAAATAGAAATAAAGATAGAGATTTATTTATACAAGATTTCTTCCCACTCGGTAGGTAATTAAAACTGATGAACCTAGGCTTATCTCAGTGTCCGGTTGTCTTGAAAGTCCAGTTGGGTTTCAGAGATGGTTTCTGTCACAGAAAACAAAAAAGTATATGACAGCGGTGTATTTTACCCCGAGCCCTCCCAATGAAAATAACTTCAGCATAAGGCATCCACACTTAATTTATTCCAGGAAGGTTAATTGTACATGGAAAATGGCAGCGAGGAAAAAACAGGCAGAGATATATTCTTCGTGACTAATTGCATAAATGTTGACCTAAATGTGACAGCGACAGAGAGGTCTTAGTTATAAAGAAATGACAAAATTCACAGATATTACATGTCATGTGATTAAAACGTTACCATGAGTTTACGAACAATACCTTGAGTACTTACACTATGGTAGCCTGCAGTTTGTTAGATTTAGTAACTCTGAGTTGGGTGAAAACCGGTGGCGCGCAATTGCGCTTCTACATGGTAAATAAACCAAACTTTTTGCACAGAAGAGCATTCCTGCATACCGCTAAAATATTCATGGATTCATATTGTATGAGTTGAAATAATCTGATTACTTACATTTTCTTCTCAATATGCTTGAAATGAATTCTTTTCTTTGTCATGTCACTGAATTCAATTAGCACATATCCTGAAAAACATGAAAAACACATTCAGTCTTTTCATTCAGGTATAAACACATTCAACATGCTTTAGAATTATATTAGACACAATAACAATGTAAGGTATATAATAAATATGAATCATAATTTGAATATATAAGCTATTTGTATAATGTTAGAAATACCTCCATCAACACGCTCAACATGGCCAGGGTATCGAGCTGCTCTGTGCACCAACCATGGAGCCTCAACCTTGTCACCAGTCTTCAACTAAATCAAACATGTACAACTTGTGTATTTATTCTCGTAAGCTTTCACAAAGTGTAAAACATCACAGTGAAAATCTCTAGCAATACAAATATGTAGCTTCTTCACAGCTGTTGAGGTTAATGTGATATAAAGATTTACAAATACAGCTAAAGGAAACACATTGTACTCACTGAAGAAGACATACCTCAAACCTGACCTTCTTTGTTGAAAGCCACTCATCCAAGTTATAACCAGTCCAATGTATTGTAACTCTTCCTTCTGTACTGACAATACTTTCGCTTCATACCTGTTTTAATCAAGATAAAAGAATTATGATTTATGGAAACAAGAAGGTTCACACAAATATTTATCTCCACTGTTTTGTTTTAACTTAGAATGCTCCACTGACATTTTTCTGGTTTCATATTTAGTCGATATGACAGCAGAAAAGAAAGTGTATGCATGTTCTTCCAAAATAAACAGTTAACCTTAAAGTCCTATCAACTCAAACCACTAAAAACTTTCTACCTGGGAAATTAACGCCGCTTTTTAATTTCAATACTGAAATGTCTATATCCTTCTTGAACAATAACTTTAACTACAGACTAGAGCTCAAGAAACTAGTCGGGAAGAAATGAAATAACTGTAGTAATAACCAGAGAGATGAGAATGATATTTGCTAATTTCAAACCTATCAAATTTGTTTTTGTAGATTTGCCAAATATGCAGAATCACTTCAGGTTTGAAAAATAAACTACTGCAATTCTTTGAGCGACACAAAAAGTATTATCCTTCTAGGAGTTTCAGAATGAAAGAGGGTCCGACTATTGATTTTGAGTCAAATGATGATCAGTACCTTAGCAAATCTATCTGAAAATAATCATAAGAATTGATGTAACTCAATCATGCATTTGTGATGATTTCCAAATGTGAAGTTTCTTTGACAAATGATGACAATAATAACATACCAAAAGCCGTCATCCTCTAATGCCTCCACAATCATTCCAACGTTGGATTTGCAGGGGGGTATCTATGGACAAAATCCATGATATGCATGGTTAGTACAATGGACTAGTCAGCTCACTGTTATTTTTGTAGTCTATTTTCAGAGTTTTTCCATTAAAAATTCACCAAGAAATATCTTTCACACAAGTTGCTTGAAACACTGATACTGATGATCCATAATATATACTGGGTGCTGTGTGACAATAAGTCATAGCCAATAACACTGATACACCACACAGCAATAACACAGCATTGTTTGTCATTGAACCATCTATTTCTGTTTCCTAATGTTTATTTGTCATCTATATATTGGCAACTATGTACAGCAGGGGATCATTCCGGTGCAAACCAGTGATTTATCAGGCTCCGCCATCTGGCTGCCCCATGTTATCAACAATCCTATAGTTATCACTGACATGGATGATTCTTTAACAGGTGTGTGAGGGATATTCTTGGGCAATTTCACTCTCCATAAAGTTCACATTACTTGATACCTGATGCATGTTTTGATAGATTGTTGCAATTGAACTAACACGTTCATTCATAAGTTAAATTCCATTTCTGCACGGCAAAATCCACTTGTCCACAATTACAAGAATATTTCTCCTCTGACACAGTGACCCCTGACCTTCCATGAAATGTCATTAGATGCCAAGCAGTTGTGGTGGAACATGTTACCTGCGCTGGCAATATTTTACCTGCACTGCAACTAGTTTGATGACATTTGGACATCTCATAAATTTCCTTCATCCTGGCGTGACGCCATAGTTGTATCCGTACCCAAACCTGGACGTGATCAAACAGATCCCTTTAATTATAGGCCCATACATATACATGCATATGGTTGTCATTTGCAGGTTTTTATACGTTTGGATAAGTAAAATACATGATAAGTAAACAATTTTGGCGAGTCCCTTGAAATTGTACATATCAGGTTTCCACTGTATATGTATTATTTCGTAAACAACTGCATTTCAGTTATATTTAAGTGTAATCTCACGACAGTGTTGATATCGAAAATGGCTGCATAAACACAATCGCTGGAAAAGATTAATAATATCAATGTCTTACTATATCATATTCAAATAACCCATCGTTGAGTTGAGTTAGCATTTAAAATCACATCGCATGGTCCCTAGTATGGTGAACTACCTTCAGTTGTTTGTGATCTGTAGCCTATTTTTTATATTGTGTTGTCCTCTATAGTTAAAATGTTTTAAATTTAATTACTAGTTTTACATTTATATCTGTGATATTCTAGTTGTTTTACTGTCCTTCGTTGACAGGATTTTATACTCTGTCTTTAATTATTGTTAATATATATGTTGTTTTAGTCCCGATATGGCTAAAATATTGCCAAAGTGACTTTTATATTTTAACTCACTCATCTGAAAAACATTTTATGGCATCAGAAATATCATAAAACGTTCAGGTTTGAATTTGTCAGCACATAGAATTTCATATAAAGGCCAGTTAGCCTTTTAAAATTCCATCTTGATGATGGAGGAACATCAGCTGGATTCACGGGTTTTAGTATTGTTGGGACATTTTAACTCACTCACTCATTAAAATCACATCGGCAATATTTCAGCCATATCGTGAAGAATATATATTAATAAGGTTCAAGTTAGATAAAATAAATACTTGTCAAGGAAAGACATTAAAGTCTCCAGATATCAGACTTTCTATCATAACTATAAAAGCCATAAATATATAGTGCTTCTAAATAACGATACAATACAAAATCGGCTAGATGAACTCAACCCAAAAAGAACTAGAATCTGTACTTTACTAAGAAAGTGTAATCCTAAATATAACATATGTTACATATGTTACGGCTATAGATCGCTAACAACTGACGGTAGGTCACCATACTAGAGATTAAGCTCGATTTATACCATCCCTTCAGATGTTAGCGACTGCATGCAATTAGCCAATCTACATATATACTGCAATTAAAAGCTGTGGTATTATATATAACTATGCTTTGAATGATCTGGGGGACAATATTTTACAGTACTTCAACCCCCATCAAGGGAAATATCCCATCGTATGAAAAGAGACCCTAGGTGCACGCCAGTGTTTCACATGTATATGTACGCATTCCAGGGCAGAGTATACGTGTTCCAGTTGGTTGATTGGTATTTGGGCGCTGTGGCCTGCTACGTCATTGCTGCACTCGAGTGTGTAGCCGTTGGCTGGTGTTACGGTAGGGACAGTTACAAATAGCATTCTTATATATTAATAGAAGCATCAAAACCTGTTCCACATTCATAAGTTTATCTTTGTTATATAAGCTTGAGTGGATAGTACGATTCAGATCATCTCACGAGCATGTGAACGACTCGTTACCAAAAATGATATGGTGGGCGTACTCTGATCAACTGATGCACATGTGACATGAAAAGGCAAGTCATATAACCTCAGTGAATGGGAGAACATGGGTTCACGACACGTGTTGCCATGAAACCGTGGTGAATAACATGTATCCTTGTGAGGAATGGACGCCCGATCATCAGCACGATAATAACCTTCATAACGTCTTTCAACTATACACATAAACCCGTCCATGATCTTCACAAGGAAACACATTATATATAGATAATAATATCATTACATTCAAACACACTCATACATATACTATTCCATAAAGAAACGCATAACCCAGAAATCTGTTGCGAAAATGCTGTATTTTCAAACATGTATAATTCGTCCACAAAAATACTTAAGATATGATTTTTTACGTCATTTGAGAAGAAGGTATTGTCTATACAACCAAGTGGATAATTTTAGATAACGCAGACGTTGAGCGCGATGGTGACCATGTAGCATGGTCCCGACGTCGGGTCTCCTGTCTCTCAGTCCAATCTCTCTCAACCTGTTCCTTACAGTTTGACCGGATATCCTCCGAAATCCAGGCAGCCTAGCTACTGTGCTCTCACACGTGGCAGTACGGACACGCAAATGAAGTACCCGGATGTACCGATCTTGGGCTGCAGTGGTGACTCGAGGTCTGCCTGCAAAGGGACGGTCATTTGTTATACTTGTTTGGTTGTAACGAGCTGCAAGGCAGTGATATCGTGCTCAGACTAACATTCAGACGCCTGGCAACAAAACTGGTAATCTCCAGCGTGCATTCCTTCAGTGTCGCAGCGTCAAGACGTGGCGTAGTGATTTGACCTTGAAACTCCTTCAAAACGAATGCCGATGTCCGAAAGTTATCTGGATTTTTATAGCCAGACAGTGCATGCTCTTTGCTGCACAATTTCAACTGGAAGGTGATTTCTGTTGCGTTGTGGCGATGCATTTTTAATTCTTGTAAAAAATCTCATCAAAATCAACATTCTCAGGTAAAGTCGACTTTTCACTTGTGCAATTGAAGGGGTTAGAATAAAAAGGAGGTTAAATCGAATTTATTTTTTTAGTTTTGAGGGCAAAATTGTATGTAAATGTTTGCCAAACAGTCTTTGAAATATCAAACACAAGCAAAATAAAGTATTTTATGTGCGTTTCACATCAATAATAATTCAAAAATATTTTAAAAACCTCCATTTATGAAGAAATGCTAAAAATGTAGGTAACCCTGTTGTTATTCTAACCCCTTCAATTGTGTAAAATCATCTTATCAACACTTTTGTTACATAATTTGACAAATGTTTGAACACAATAGGTAATTAATAGATATTTAAAAATACAACACACCTATGCGTTTCTTTTGGGGGATAGTATATCTTCACATTGAAACTAATTATATACATGTATATAGCAGTAAATGAGATTTTAAAATGACATGTCTCATTTATTTCTATGTATATGCATACAATTAGTTTCAATGTGAAGATCGTAATCGGGGTATCACGTTTGCTGATTTGAGCGATGCATATGCCTGTTATCAGTTGCACAACCCAATTACACAAGTCTATGATCAAGACGTAAATGACTGGAGTATTGGGTTGAAATTCGAGTAATTACAGCACACCGTCATACAGCTGGAATACTGCCAAGTGCACCATTTAGCAAGAAACAAATGCAAGAGAATGGAAAACTCATATCATTCCAACCATGCTTCGGTGTTGGGAATCCTGCATGAATTGAATCAAAATTCGTGTAATTTTTTAGCCACTGGAAGAAGAGTTAATATATCTTCATTGGCTTGCTTACTCCCAAGGGGTAGTAACAAAGTCTTTGCGTGGTATGGTGACAAAAATTCCGTTCATATTTTTCTGACACGAATTAACAAACTGTATTTGACAGGTGTCGAGCGTTTCTCTGCTGATGTGCAAATGATGATTGGAAAACGCCTACCTGTGATCTACAAAGTTGTTTGTTTCATCATCGTCCCTGCTCTCCTGACCGTAGGTCTCATATTTTTCCGTATCGATTTACGCCCTAAGAATTCATATGGAACTCGTAAAGATCCGGGTTACAATTGGTCTTCAGAAATCCACGCTTTTCGTAAGAGGCCACTTACGGGATCGGGTGGTCAGGCTCGCTAACTTGTTTGACACATGTCATCGTATCCCAATTGCTTACATCTGTGCTCACGCTGTTGGTCACTGGATTGTCTGGACCGGATTGGAGTAGTTACAGACCACCGCCATATAGCTGGCACACTGCAGCGTTACAAAAACACACAAACAAACAACAAAAGTAACTGCTACGTATACTGTACAACTGTCCTCTCATATTTGTATCAATGTTTTGCTTCCAAATGAATTAGTACAGCTTCTTAGTGTAGCTTTCAAACTTAGTATATGCATCAACAAGTGACCGAGGGTGATGTTCATCTTCATATGGTTTTTGGTCAGATAAACATGTGTGTACTTCTGAATATATACTTGAGAATGTAGTTGGGGAACTAAAATATGTCATTGCAGATAGCTTTGGTTTTGACGTTGGCTTCATACAAGTCTCCAAGATACGGTGAGTACGACTACCCCACGTCGGCCATCGTCTTCGGATGGTTCATTGCTCTTGTGTCCGTAGTTCCTGTTCCAGCATGTATGGTCATACAAATACTCAAGATGGAAGGACCCCTGGCACAGGTAGAAACTGTTCATATCAGATGCAACTGAATCCTCACAAGTTATTTAAGAAATACATCTTCGCTCTACCACCATGTATAGTGTAATAAAACACTTTTGCCCTGAACTATTATAGTTAAAGCACGAGGACGCTTGCGTCCGAGTGCTTTAACGTTATAATAGTTCAGGGCGAAAGTGTGTTTTAATACACTCATACATGGTGGTAGGGCGAAGTGTATTTCTTCTAAGATGCCAAATTTAATACTTTCTAAAGATAATTACGATTAATTTAAGGCAGAAAACAAACGACGGTGTCGGTGACCTAAATTAAGAATCCTCGCACAGGGCTAACTGGCGCGCTGTTCTATTGATGTGTCTGCCCCCTACGTTAAGACGAACGTTACCAGAAAAAAACAAATGATAACAGTTTGATGACGGTTTACGTTCGGATTAAATATCTTCTCTGAATTATTTTAATTACATCTGTCATTAACGTAAACCATATGGGGCAATATGAACGTTGCATTTCTACTACCAGCGTAAGTTTAGATCAGTACATCCAGAGGAAGTTGAGTAGTCAAGCGACATTCCACAATTGCATTGTGGGAATGTAAACATTGCAAACGTTACCGTGTCGCTGAAAACTTGTGAGTCGAAATGACACATTTTAACCGTCGTAAAACATAAACGTAATGTTTCCACCAGTGATGTTAGCTGCGTGAAGCAACAGCAAACCAAGAAACTGGATGCAACGGTGTAGTTTACTGTAGGAGGCCGTACGAGGCGATGACAACTGACATGCATCGTGACGTCGCTTACATTGTGACGTAATGTAAAATGGTTCGATTACAAGGGGCACACTAGAATGGCGCAGTGACGGGATAACGTCATTCAATTGTTACGTCATCAAAAAACTATACCTTTATTGTCTGATAATGTATTTTTTTTCGATTGTTCTAACCGCTAGGCATCTTAGAAAGGTAATTTTCATGTGCTTAGTCTGGGGTTAACACAGGTCCGAGAAATGTATAATTCCTTTTCGTAAGGTGCGAAGGAAATAATGTGGTGGGAAGTCGTAACTTTTACACATTTACACGTAGCTGGAAATTTGCGGTACAGCGTTTAACAACAAACATGGTCCAATAAGGTTCCGCAAGTTAAAACAAAAATATGTCAAATAATTTCTACATCCTTTAGCAATACAAAGAAGTCATAATGAAAGTGGTCAGATTGATAGTAGTAAAACTATCCATGAATAAGTTTGAGGTGTTGTCAGGCAGCAAACCAAATGTGACGAAATTGCTCGCATATAATGGCCTGTAAAAAAACCCTGATACCACAATCATTAGGTTGGTTTGTTTTATTCTCATATAGCTAGTTTCAATCCTTGTGTTACGTTCCACCTCATCAACACATCGACAGCAATGTAAATATATTATAATTATGATTATTGTAGTAAACAAAATGAAAATTTATCTCATTGTTTGCTTCTTTATTCCAAGTGTCAAATGTCAGTTCTCATTCTCATAATTCATGTTCATGTTCCTCAAGATTCATAGTTCATATTCAGGTTTTCACTTCTCATATTCAAGTTCATGACATACATATTCAACTTCATAATTTTCTTCACTGAACTCAAACTAGATTTAATCGAATTGTGATATTCTAGTCGTTATACTGTCCTTCGCTGGCAGGTTTTTATAAATAAGTATGCATATGTTTATTCTTAGTACCTCCCTGTTTGTCGTCACAATATGGCTGAAATATTGCCGATGTGACGTTAAATATTAACTCACTCACTCACTCATAATTCTCATCACAAATCCTCTCCATAACAGACGAATGAAACGATTGACTGTAAACAAAACCAAAAACACTAATACGTACCTACAGTATTACATATCTAAGAAAATTACAGTCAATAAAATGCAAACAAAGGGGAAAAAAATAGATAAAATATGGTTACTTTAACAGCTCAGAAATTATATGGAAATAATATAGAAATTAACCTTAAACATTAGAAAGAATAACTAAATAAACCTACACCCTAACCTTATAAAATATCCTTTAAATTTACTGAATGAAGAAATTTAACAAGTGCATGAAAACTGAGTACCTTTATCAAAACATTGCAATAAAACATGTAAAATTTATATAATAGAAATATTTTCGGCATTACCATATCTCAAACACAAGGATAAATTATATTAACAATGAAAATATACACATACCATTTTGTTAGACCCATATTCTCTAATTTCCACTTCTCAAAACAATATGTCTTCATACAGCAAGTCAGCATGCTCCATACAAGAACACTGAATGAAGGGCTCCTTACAGGGGACGCTGAGTGAAGAGCTAGTAAAATCTCAATTTTGGCTCTTACATCCCAGCCCCCAATTACATATAGCTTAAATCGGAGTAATTACCAAATACCTGATACTAATGATTAACATGTAAATAAAATAAAATACTTTAAAATGATTAAGGGTGGTACCGAAAATAACATATATCAATTTTACTCAAAAACTTAACTAAAGAAACGAATAATATGGCAAAAAACAACAAAAATAAAAGAATTACTTAAACTTTACAAATTTAGATACCTTACTGAAAATACCCAAATAGAAAAACAAAATTTCTCTTTACAAACATGAGAAACACCAAAAAAATGTTATACCCTTGAGAAATAAAAATACTTTTTGGCTGAATACAAATACTTCTAACAATTACTCACTTGGGGAAATGTATCAATTTCCTTGACATACACTGCATTTTGTAAGACTTTATGATCCCTCGCTTTCATGGATCATACACAACTTTGTAACTGGTCTCACCAAAGTTGTTGATTTGGTCTTAACCTGAACAGTTCGAACAAATACTTTTCGATCTTTAAAGACCTCTATTACTCTGCCCATGTTCCATGAATTTCTGGGCATATTGTTTGTGAGTAGGGCAATGTGTCCAACTTCAACATTTCTCTTTGGTTTTGTCCATTTTTGCCTCAGTTGAGTAAAGGCAAATATTCCTTAACCCACCTTTTCCTAAATATGTTCGCCAAATATCAAACTTGGCGCCTTCTTCTCACAGTGTAACTGTCCGCTTTGTCGAATGTTCCTTGGGGCGCCTGCGCGGGGCAGTAGTAGGTGGTTCGGAGTGACCACACATAGGTCACTGAGGTCATTCGGCACTGCTGTGATTGGTCGCGCTCAGTTGATTTTACCATACACTAGCAGAACTGTGCTTCATAGTCAGTTGTGTAAAAGATTTATAGGTTATAGCGAAGATATATTCGGTCATTCGTCTGGTCAAAACAAATATATTAACAAAACCTATGACTGGTAACAAAATACTTATGCATATTTTCATTTTATTTCCAATGTAACTTTCATTGAAAGCTTTTAAAGTTATTAAAAGTATAAGCAAAATCATATCTGATGAGAATCTATTGTTGAAAATCAATAAAATTACTTTCTTTTGGTTCAAATTTCCATTTCAGACACATAAGGACGCAAGTGGTTGCAGATTCTTTCCAAGTTTTCACTGAACCGAGACATAGTTACCCAGCCGGAAATTAAACTTCACAGACTAATGCGGGTGATGGTTAAATAGAAATTTAACAACAGAATGAGTCCTTCCCAATTTCAGTTGAAAGATACCAGCAAAACCTCGGAATGCCTTTTTTCCCTTCATCTGTTTATGTCCTTCTGGGGAGGATTCATAACATACAAACACAATGATCTGTTCTAGGCCAAGGTCTAGGTCAACCAAGAGGCCATCGCCCAACCTCACCTGTGGACAATCCTGTTCTTCGTAATGGTGTTTTCGACTCAATGGAACGCACATGTTCTTAAGGAAGGATGACAATATATGGATGAACATGCTCTTATTGAAAACGACCGAATCCTTTCCACATTCATAAGACATATCTGCTAAAAGTTGTGTTGATTTACAATTCCGGCATTTCCGTTTTTATGAATTTATCAAAATAGTGATGATATGAGATGTTCATGAAAAGGCTAGCGAACCATGCCCCATTGCCAAATGGTAGTCAATGGAACGTAATGGTACATATCAAAGAGAATTGCATAGGGCATCATATTTTTCGCTGGTCCTCCACGACTACCATAAAATATTTCGAAAGCATTACTGAGGTCTCTTTGACGCTCTTGGAACTCCTTATAAACACATCATCCTCGATTGTACCTCTTAAGTTGAGAAAAAGTCTGGAGCTGTCGAACACATTTTATGAGCGCTTCTAGTTGAACCGCTGTCTTTTTCACCAAAGCCAATGTTCTTGTCAGTATTGTGTCCATACAACATGTGCATGTGAATATTGTCGTCCGTTAGGTGCTTATTGTTCAGTTAGACATAAAGCGTCAACTTCACCGAAACATTGGTCTCAATTATCTATTCAGACTGATTCCCCTTGACGTAAAAGGCACAGTGGTTTGAAAATTGCATCGATGGATCACTGGGAATCACTGTCGATTAATTGTTAGTCATTCCATGTAGTAGCAGGCACCCATGAAGGGCCACCTCCTCGTGGTGGGTGCTGGGTAACGCTAAGCGCCCTTCAACCCCGTTGTGGACCCGGGGCATATTTGAGTCCACCAACCTGTTTGCCGTGGGTTGCGCCCCTGTGTCGGTTGAGGACGGGATTCTGGTGGTTGAGGGCAATAGGTTCCTGGAACCGTGTTCCTTTGCCCAACACACCACTTTGACCCTTACTTCACCTAGACGGGTGGTAGAACTGGCCCGGTTCTATCAATCGGCTGGTCATGTCATGCCCTGTGTTGGACATTTCCATATTTGGAGTCTAATATCGTATTTTTGTGTGTTTTGGGTTTAACATTTTCGAAATATTTCAACGGTTTTGCCTAGAGTCCTACGTCAGAAGGCGGTGGCTCATGGGCCAATCTGGTTAATGTCAACCTCCGAATTCTATATGTCTCCAAATTTCTGTTATGTG